GTGTCAACGCCACCCAATTCCTGGGCTGTCAATCCACCAAACATCCCCCCAACTTGGAGTTCACCCCCAGATTTTGTTCCCCCCCCCAAGCTTCTGCAGCCATCTCTTCACGGCGCATTTAACCCCAGACCCAAATTCCCACGCTGGAGCGACTTTGACCAAGCCCAGGAGTTTAAAAACATTGTTTTGAAACCAGTCGGGCGTCGTGAAAAACCTAATTCCACCCCGTTTGGTTGTGTTTTTTCCTCTCCCCCTTCCAGATGCCTCTGGCTCGCTTGGGGAGGAGAGAAATTCCTTCCTTGGGAAAAAAAATTTGTTCTGCCTTAAAGAGCCGGGCGTAGCTGGGGCCAGGGCCAGACGAAGCAAAACCCCGGAGCGAGGGTTCACACAACCGTTCAAAGCAGAGGCCAGCTGTTCCTGCTTCCGGGCAAAAATGAGGGTTTTTTTTCCCCTGACAGGCTACGAGAAAAGGTACAGCTGCATTTGCCAGTCCAATGTGTTTTTTGGGGGGTGGGGGGGCGGAGGTTGGGGGTTCAGAGGGAGAGCCTGAACCCCCACATGGAGCAAAAGTTTCAAGCCGTTGGGATTCAGGGCTGTAGGATCGTGGCTGGATTAGACAGTTGAGGTCATGCACGGCCTGGAAAAGAGCGTTCCCCCCCCTTTGTGTGTCTTTATTTTTTTATTTTGATTGTTTATATTGTGCCTTTGTTAGGTTTTTATAAACATTTCGAGGCAGCGAACCTGGCTTATGCTCCTTCCCCCTCCTGTTTTCCCTGGAACAATAATCCCGTGAAGAGGATTGGGATGAGAGGGAGGGACTGGCTCAAAGTGGCCCAGCTGGCTTTCATGGCTATTATAGAACTAGAACTCACCATCTCCTGGTGACTGGCTCAGAGTCACCCAGCCAGCTTTCATTCCTAAGGCAGGACTAGAACTCACCGTCTCCTGGTGACTGGCTCAGAGTCACCCAGCCGACTTTCATTCCTAAGGCAGGACTAGAACTCACCATCTCCTGGTGATTGGCCCAAAGTCACCCAGCTGGCTTTCATGTCTAAGGCAGGACTAGAACTCACCATCTCCTGGTGATTGGCCCAAAGTCACCCAGATGCCTTTCATGTTGAAAGTGGAACTAGAACTCACCATCTCCCGGTGATTGGCCCAAAGTCACCTAACTGGCTTTCCTTTTTCTAAGGCGGTACTAGAACTCACCATCTCCTCATGATTGGCCCAAAGCTACACAGTCAGCTTTCAAGTCTAAGGCAGGACCAGAACTCCCAGTCTCCTGGTTTCTAAGCCAGCTCCTTAACAATTAGACCAAGCTGGATATTAACCACTGGCCTAATAAATCTGAGGGCCTCGTCTTCAGCTTCAGATCTCCAACTTGCTAGCAAACATAGTTCCCAGATTCTTTTCAAGTCATCCATGACTGCAAATCGTGGTTATGGGGTGCCCTGGTTTGGTCTGTCCCACCTCTGTTCTGGAAACTCAAGTCAGTGTTAAGAATTCGCCTTCTATCTTTGCTGCTTTCCAGAGATGAAAGATTTGCTAGTCTGGGGTCCTTGGGGTTCTCTGAGCTGGGTGGTTTTCTGGCAGACATCTGGTGACCCAACTAGGTAATGTCATCAGTGCAAACCCCTTCCTCTCAATGTTACCTAGTTGGGTGATGAAAAGTCAACCTCAGTCTTCTTTTCAGCCTTATATCGTTTTAGTCCTTGTTATCTCTGGCTATCATAGGTTTTTATCTCCTCCTTAAGTCCATAGCTGGCTTTCTGAATTGACAGCCTTCTGGGACAGGACTCTGCTCCTGTTGGATCTGAGGGCCACCAGGTCTGACAATGACACCGGTGCTCTGTTGAAGGAACACCCAGTAAGCTGGGTCCATGAGATGGAGGAGACCCCAAGAAACCTTTTACACCCCAAATGTGGGACTCCACACCAGAGAAAACTCTCTGAGAATGAATGTTCCTTCAGAAGACCCAGCCGAGAACCCAACCCACCTGAGGAACCTTGAGCATCCTCACCAACCACCCCTTAATGAAGCTGGTGGACTTATCTACCTACCTTGGTTCTCCTGGGAAATGCATCCGTTTTCTTCCATAGCTTTCCTTCTTCGCTGGGCGCGCCCTCCGACGCCTGCGCGCCAACCCCACACATGGGCCCGTCCCCTTTGTCTAACATCTTCTTCCTCACCACGTGGGCTTCGGTTCCTCCCTCCATGTTTGGGGTCCCCCCTTTCAGAGGCTGGATGTGATACTCGGTACCCCCATACTGCAGCACCCCAATCAAAGAGGTCCCGTCAAAACTGATTGCCACGATCGATTCCGGATCCGAATTGATTGTCCCGGTGTAGTAGTTGCCACGTTCAGTTGGAGTGTCCACCTCCGGCCTCAATCTGCCCAAATATTGGACGGTCAAGTCCTTGGAGAAAAAACTGGGGTCTTTCTCTAAATGGAGGGTCAGCTCTTCCCCAAACATCTGCAGTCGAAAGGACAGATGTTGGTCCGCATCCATGTTATAATCGAGGGAATTCTCATTGTCAAGTGTGCCAGCCGGGTCTAGACCCCCCAAAATTGAAGTGGCATTCAGTTTTTCAGGATAAACGATTTCTTCATCGTATCTGGTCAAAGGACCCCTTTGGGTTGCTGACCGAGCCGGATGAAAACAGAGGATGAGCAGCAGAAGAAACATGGATATATATATTTTTTTAAAGTCAACTTCAGAAGAAAGGAAGGGATACCCCCCAAATTTCTCTCCCTCGTCGGAGAAAACCAGAGATAAATCAAGAGATCCCCGATCGTATTAAAATTGCCCCAGGGACAAATACAAAATAAAAATCAGAATCAAGGACACCGTAATCCCCTCTTCTCTTTGCCGTTTGCAAACCCAAAGTTGATAAAACTTAACCCAAGTTAAGAGGAGAAGAAAGAAAAAAAAAATCAGATCAAACGAGAAGAGATTTTGAGTTGAGTTGCCGAGAGAAATAGTTGAAAAATAGATTTTTTTCCCTCCTTTATTTTTTTTTCCTCCGCTCCTGCAGCTGATTTGGGTTTTCTCGCTGGCTGCTTCTGTTCTTCCTTCCAAATCTTAGAAAGCAACAGGAAAAAAAAAATCCTTATTGTCACCCTTCAACTTGCTTCTCTTTTGAAACGAAGTGTAGAATCAGACCATGGATAGAAAAAAAAGGAATCAACTCGATCCACCGGTTAGTTTTCTCTCCCTTTCTCCCTTTCTGTTTTTTAATCCTCGGGAACTTTCTGAGTTTTGAGAGGTGGGGATGTATACATGTCCATATATATATATAATGTGTGTGTGTGTGTGTGTGTGTGTGTGTGTGTGTGTACTGAATTACAATTCAGTTCATCTGCAATTAGCTCCGCCTTCTTTTCTCTTTCCATGTTTTCATTGGCTGCAGGGCTTAGTCAAAAAAGGATGATGCCGAAAGACGTAATGCTATGAATAAGAGATTAAAGGAGGGTTTTTCCCCTCCTTTAAAAAAATAAAAATCTTTTCCTCTTTTTGTTTTAAAAAAAAATAATAAATAAGCGGAGTTGCTGTCGAGCTGTAAGATGATTTAAGGATGGGAACTGCAAATGAGCTGACGGAGATGAGACACACTTTGGGGAAGGGGTGGTGGTGTGTCTGTGTGTGTGTGTGTGTGTGTGTGTGTGTGTGTAAATTGGGATTTTCCTTTTCTCTAGATGCCTTGCAGTTTGTTTGTTTGTTTGTTTGTTTTTTTCCTGGCTGGACAAATGTTTGATCTTCCATCTCTAAGGAGAGAGAAATCTTGGAATCGTGGTCTGCTGCCCCGACCTCTGTCCATCAAGGGTTCTTGATTGTCAAAAGAGAGGTAATATTTTGGGAATTTAATCCTCCCTCCGTGAGTGGATCTGCTCCCCGGTGGAGAATGCAAAACTCTCGACGCTTCTTAAGTTGCTAGTCCACAAGGGTCCACCTGGAAAGCTTTCCAATTACACCATAAGTAATTTGACTCCTGGACACCCACCCACCCACCCAGCTCCTGGACACCCCACCCAGCATTGCCTTGAACCTTATTCTTTATGTAGGTGTAGACAGCTGGCCCATCACCAGGAGGCCATGAGTTCTAGTCCTGACTTAGGTATGAAAGCCAGCTGAGTGACCTGAGGGCCTAGGCCAGTCACCAGGAGACTGTGAGTTCTAGTTTTGGCTTAGGGTTTTCTCCCCTAAAACAAAAATGAAGTGAGCTCAGAGACCCCAAAACTCGTAAAAGCTTTTGAAATCAAGGCATCCCTCTTGGAGATACAGCCATCATTCCAAAATCAGGAGAACTTCTAGTCCTAGACATTCCCACTCTTTGGGTCGTCATCGAAATTAATGTCATTTTTCTTGCCTAGGGAAAATTTGTGAGAATCCTTTTCCAGGCTTTTTTTTTTTTTTGTTGGTTTGTTTTTTCGGTGTTGTGCTTTCGCGGTTCTGGGTGACGTGGTCCCCCCGGTGACGTGGGGGGTGACGTGTCTTGTGGAACATCGGCTCGTCAGTTGGGGATCCTGACCCGTCCCAGACGGTTCTGGTCAGATGTGGGAATGGGGGGGATGCGTCTCTTCCTTCGACAGCTCTTTCCTACCTTGCCCAGAACCGAGATGGATCTGCTGGGAACAGAGTGTCCCACTTTCTCACAATTCCCTGGGCTCTCCCAAGCAAACTGGGAAGGAGGCCAGGATCCCAGGGCAGCTGTTTCCAGAGGTTAAGGCCCCTGGAAGGAGGAGGAGGAGGAGGAGCAGGCTGGGCTTCAGGGAAAAGTCTGTCTTGAGCTTTGACAGCTGTCTTTTTCTTTCTTTCTTTCTTTCTTTCTTTCTTTCTTTCTTTCTTTCTTTCTCTTTCTTTCTTTCTTTCTTTCTTTCTTTCTTTCTTTCTTTCTTTCTTCCTTCCTTCCTTCCTTCCTTCCTTCCTTCCTTCCTTCTTTTTCTCATTCTTTCTCTTTCTTCTTTCTTTGTGTCTCTTTCTTTCTCTCTCTCTTTCTTTCTTCCCTCCTTTTTTCTCCTTCCCTCGTCGTCCTATTCTTTCTTTCTTTCTTTCTTTCTTTCTTTCTTTCTTTCTTTCTTTCTTTCTTTCCTTCCTTCCTTCCTTCCTTCCTTCCCTCCTTTTTCTCCTTTCCTTCTCCTACTTTTCATTCTTTCATTCTTTCTCTTTCTTTCTTTCTTTCTTTCTTTCTTCCTCTCTCCTTCTCTTCTTTCCTTCTTCCTCTTACCCCTCTTCACCTTCCCCCCTCCTCTCTATCTTCCTTTTCTCTTCTCCTCCTCTTCCTTTTCCTTCCTTTTTTCCTTCCTTCCTTCCTTCCTTCCTTCCTTCCTTCCTTCCTTCCTTCCTTCCTTCCTTCCTTACTTACTTACTTACTTACTTACTTACTTACTTCATTTAACAACCATGTTACTAACTTAACAACTATGGCCAAAAATATCGTAAAACGGGGCCAAACTCACTTAACAAATGTCTCTAGAAATTTGGGGCTCAATTGTGGTCATAAGTCGAGGACCACCTGTAGATCCCTCCGTGTGGAGAAGAGACCCACTTTTGGAGGGTGGATCCTTTCCAAGCCACCCATCCCTCCGAGATTCCAGCCCCCAAACAGCTGAAACCGCAGCCCGGCATTCACGAGACCCCGTCTCTGTTGCTGTGAGGTTGGGCTGATGCTTCAGCAATGACTCACATACTCAACAAAGTTCCTATCACAATAGATCCGTGTGGTGCGGCTCTTCGCTGGGCTGCTGTCTCCTCTCGCCTTTGTTTCTCCCTCGTTGTCCTCCGCTGACCCCTGACACATCCCCTCTTTCTGTTCCAGCTGGGTTCCGACTGGACTCTCGGGGTTGAGAGGGCCTCCCTTGCAGGGCTGTTGGAGACCATGACTAGGGTTGGTCCTCTGAACTGGCCTTTTTGTATACCCCTCTGAGCAGGCCCTGTTACAAAAACCGCATCAAGGGTCTGCATAATTTTCTCATCAATGTTCAGTACGGTGGTCTCATCTTCTTTGCCCATGTTCCACCCCTTTCTCCTTCTTCTGCTCCTCCTCCTCCTCCTCCTCCTCCTCCTCCTCCATCTCCATTTTCTCCTTCCCCTTTCTTCCTCTTCCTCCTCCTCCTGCATGTCCATTTTTCTCCTTCTCCTTCCTCATCTCCATCTTGTCCATCTCCATCTTCACCTTCACTTTATCTTCTGCCTCCTTCTCCATCTCCATCTTGTCATCTTCTTCATCTTCTCTTCTCCCCCTCCTGCATCTTCTCCTTTTCCATCTCCTTCTCCTCCTGCATGTTCTCCTTGTCCATCTTCTCCTTCTCCTTTCCCATCTTGTCCTTCTCCATGTTCTCCTTGACCATCTTCTTCTTCTCCGTTCCTATCTTGTCCTTCTCCATCTTCTCCTTCTCCTACTTTTCCATCTTCTCCTTCTCTTCCTTCTCATTTTCCATCTTGTCCTTCTCCATCTTCCCCATGTTCTCCTTGACCATCTTCTCTTTCTCCTTTCCCATCTTGTCCTTCTCCATGTTCTCCTTGACCATCTTCTCCTTCTCCGTTCCTATCTTGTCCTTCTCCATCTTCTCCATCTTCTCCTTCTCCTACTTTTCCATCTTCTCCTTCTCTTCCTTCTCATTTTCCATCTTGTCCTTCTCCATCTTCTCCATGTTCTCCTTGACCATCTTCTCTTTCTCCTTTCCCATCTTGTCCTTCTCCATCTTCTCCATGTTCTCCTTGACCATCTTCTCCTTCTCCTTCTCCATCTTCTCCATCTTCTCCTTCACCTCCTCTCTTCTCTGTTACTTCATTTCCCCCCCACCCTCCCCGATCTATCAACCTCCTGGCTAATTGTTTCCGAAGTGTTTCCTTTGGCTCCTCTGCGTGCCACCCACCCCATCTGTTCCCACAGCCCAGAGGTCCTCTCCTTCCCCTCCCTCAACGTTTTGAATTTATTTCTTGCTCAGCTGGACCTACAGGAACGAAGAGAGGGGATCCTGTTGCAATCTGGATCCCGAAGCAAACTCTTTCCCCGGTGGGGGACGGGAATGCTTTGGCACTCGGGCTGCCAATCTCATTACCGCAGCTTTTGCCCAATTCTCCTTTTCTTGGAAATTTGCAGCCTTCCTGCTTCTCCTTTTTCTTTCCAGCTGAATTATATCCACTTTTGCATCAGGCAAATCGATGCCCCTGATTTTGGATGGTCCCGAATCCAACTTTCCACCTCTTAGACCGGTAATATAAGCGCCATCTGAAGCCGAGACAAAGATTGAGGCCCTTTTGAATAGCTCTAGATATCCAGAAGCAAACTGGAATATCTAAGGGGTTGCCCCAAAAGAAGAGGGGGGGGTCCACCTCTTCTCCAAAGCCCCTGAAGGCAGGACAAGAAGCAACGGATGGAGACTAATCAAGGAGAGAAGCAACCTGGAACTAAGGAGAAATTTCCTGACAGTTAGAACAACTAACCAGTGGAACTGCTTGACACCAGAAGATGTGGAATGTTTCAACACTGGAAGTTTTTAAGAAGAGACTGGACAGCCACTTGTCTGGAATGGTGGAGGGTCTCCTGCTTGAGCATGGGGTTGGACTAGAAGACCTCCAAGGTCCCTCCCAATTCAGTTCTTCTGTTATTATTCTGCTTGAGCAGAGGGTTGGACTAGAAGACCTCCAAGGTCCCTCCCAGCTCTGTTATTCTGTGATTCTAAATTCCAGGATATGAAGCAACGGATGGAAACCAAGCAAGGAGAGAAACAACCTAGAACTAAGGGGAAATTTCCTGACAGTGAGAAAAATTAACCAGTGGAACACCTTGCCACCAGAAGCTGTGAATGCTCCAACCCTGGAGGTTTTAAAGAAGAGATCGGACCACCGTTGGTCTGGAATGGTAGAGAGTCTCCTGCTTGAGCAGGGGGCTGGACTAGAAGACCTCCCAGGTCCCTCCCAGCTCCTGTTATTCTGTGATTCTAACTCCAGAAGGCAAGGCAAGAAGCAACGGATGGGGACGGATCAAGGAGCGAAGCTTTCTCGCTTAGGGATTCGCTGAACAACGGCTGCAGGAAAAATGGTAAAACGGGGCAAAACTCCCTTCACAAAGGTTTCGCTTAGCGACGGAAATTTCCGTGGCCGTAACTCAAGGATGACCTGCATGATTTCGGCCCTGAACGAAACGCTCTCAACTTTGGCGCTCGCTACCGTTCTGTCTATTTATTGGCCTATATTTGGAACAGAATCTGGGACTGGAAAAGTGGATCTGGAAGGATCATCTGAGTCGGCTTTTCCCCTGGGCCTTGCAAAGGAAGGAGAGAGGGTGGTGTGTGTGTGTGTGGGGGGGATCTGATTATTCACGCAGCTGCGAAAGGAAGCCCTCGCCATCCGCTCCAGAACCAAACCTCACTTCCGCCCCTTCCGCACACAGAGCTTGTTCCATTTTTGAACCCCCCCCCCCAAAAAAAAGAAAGAGCGGTGATTCAGAGCCTTACGGAAAGAACGAAATCCTGCAGAGAGAGAAAAAACCGTGCCTGAAAACGGACCAGCAAACTCACAATCTTTTATGTCAGACACTTCGCTTCGTTCCTGGAAGGAGGAAAACCGTCTTGACCTACGCTGAGTTTTTTTTTTTTCCCACAAAATCAGTTTGGGTCACTGACGGAGACAAAATTAGGGAAATAAAAAAAAAACCAAAAAAACCCAGGGAAATTTATTTTCCAGATACGAGGGTGGAATTGGACGTTTGGTGTGAGACAGAACGTAAGGTTATGATATCTGAGTTTGATGATTAGAAGAGATAGTAAATCGTACAAGGGCGGGGTGTCAAAAGTCATCCATTCAGCTTTTGGGTCTAAGGCGGGACTAGCGTCTCCTGGTGATGGGCCCAAAGTCACCCAGCCGGCTTTCATGCCTAAGGCGGGACTAGAACTCACAGTCACCTGGTGATTGGCCCAAAGTCACCCTGCTGGCTTTCATGCCTAAGGCAGGACTAGAACTCACCGTCTCCTGGTGATTGGCCCAAAGTCACCCAGCTGGCTTTCGTACGTAAGGCGGGACTAGAACTCACCGTCACCTGGTGATTGGCCCAAAGTCACCCTGCTGGCTTTCAGGCCTAAGGTGGGACTAGAACTCACCATCTCCTGCCCAGTCACCCAGTCAGCTTTGATGCCTAAAGTGAGACTAGAACTCACTATCTCCTGATGATTGGCCCAAAATCACCCAGTTGGCTTTCACGCCTAAGGTGGGACTAGAACTCACTGTCTCCTGGTGATTGGCCTAAAGCCATCCAGCTGGCTTTCATGCCTAAAGTGAGACTAGAACTCACCATCTCCTGGTGATCCACCCAAAGTCACCCAGTCAGTTTGGATGCCTAAAGTGAGACTAGAACTCACAGTCTCCTGGCGATTGGCCCAAAGTCACCCAGCCGGCTTTCACACCTCAGGCAGGACTAGAACTCCCAATCTGCGGGTTTTTAACCTGTTGCTTTAACCCAGTCTGGTTCGTTCATCCCCTATCCCGGTTTCGTCGGTCGCTGTTTGGGAACCCCTATTCTTCCATCTTCTCTCCGTCTTTTTGTACGTCTGCCAAATTCAGGCATTGGTACCCAGTCAGTTTCACAACTGTCCCTTGGAGGGGGAAGACTCCCAGCTGTTTTAATTCCCAGCAGAATGAGAATTAAGGCCATTTATTGGAAGCAGGAGTGGAAGGGACGGGTTGAAAGGAGGGTCAACTTTCCCACCGTGACCCAGCGCAGCGCTTCCCGGAGAAACTGACCGGTCACATCACGCGAGGAAGCCAGCCGGTCATTTTGTGCCCGCCAAATAGGTGAAACATCTCGCCGGATAGGAAATTAACACATTTATAACAGCAGGAGATTTTTTCCCAGCTCTTCCTGTCCCAGCTCAGACCCCTTCCTCTTGGGCCAGGCCGAAGGGATGATGCGGAAATGACTTATCAGGGGTGGGGCAGGAAAGGACAAGCAGAGATTTGGGGTGTGGGGCGTGGACAAGATTCACTGATTTCGGACGAGGGAAGGCAGGGGAAAGAGAGAAATTCCTTGTATGTCTAACCACATTTGGCCAAAGAAATTTCTCTTCTCTTCTCTTCTCTTCTCTTCTCTTCTCTTCCCTTCATTTCTATTTCTATTCTGTATTCCATTCTATTCTCTTATTATTTCTATTTCTGTTCTCTTATGTTGTATTCCAATTCCAATTCCTATTCTATTCTATTCTATTCTATTCTATTCTATTCTATTCTATTCTATTCTATTCTATTCTGTTCTGTTCTGTTCTGTTCTGTTCTATTCTATTCTATTCTATTCTATATTATTTCCTATTTCTATTCTATTCTATTCTGCATTCTATTCTGTTCTGTTCTATTCTATTGCAATGGAGGTCTAAGGCAAGGGGCAGCCTCCATGTCTTTGAAAGTCCACCCTGTAGAACCTTCTTTTCTCAATTCTTCTCCTTTCCGGCCGCAGAAGACAACATGACACACACACACACACACACACACACTCAGTGGTATCCTGAGCAAAGGTTGTACACGGAGGAGACATCACTCAGTAGGCAAATTTGCACCCATGAAAAAAGAACCTTTTTGGACTCCTCGGGAGGAAAACAAAAGAGGTGGTGACGCCATCCCACAACGCAACCGGTGCCAGCCGGCGACCAGCTATGAAGCCAACAATGGTCCTTTCACTCCGTTGTTGGCAGTGACAACTTGGCCATCTCTGACTCCACCGAACGAGGCCGGTTGTCCGTTGTGGCCCCACTTCCCACTCAATACGGGACAAGATGAAGCCCTTTAGCGCAGCTGCTCAGGAGATAACGGTCAAATTTTGCAGGAGCCGGCATCCTACAACGTGGTCCATTCACGGTCGGGCAGGTGTTCTCTTTGGATGTCACAATTTCACACCACGAGTCTCCCTTTTGGTGGGACTCTTGGCCAGAGAGGAGAAGGCAGTGGTGGGATTCAGCCGGTTGTGCACCACTTCGGCAGAACCGGTAGCTAATTTTTTGTGACCCAAGCCCAGAATGGAC